GCTTCACAGAATGCTGCACACAGATGTTTATAATGGCTTTGTTCATGATTGTCAAAACTTAGAAAGTAACCAAGATGTATCCAGATGAAAGAATGTTATTCAGTGCTAAAAAGAAATGAGCTGCCAGGACATAGACATAGAGGAAACTAAATGCATATTACTAATTTAAAGAAACAAATCCAAAAAGCTGCATACTACGATTCTGACTATGACATGCTAGAGGCACTGTAAAGATCAACTGTCGAGATTTGAGCAGAAATGGAAAGATGGCTATAATGGAGCACAGAGGACTTTACAACAGTGAAACAGTTCTGTGTGCTGCTGTGATGGTAGATGCATGTCATTGTGAATTTGTCCAAACTCAGAATATACAAAACCAAGATGAACCTGAATGTAGATTCCAGGTGTTAATGATGTGTCAGTGGAAGTTAATTACTTGTGACAAAGGTACCACTCCTCTGGGGGATCTTCATAAGGACACAAAGTAAAACCAGAGTGAGTGTATGAGACATCTCTCTATCTTCTTCATTGTTGAAGTGAACTTAAAACCACTCTGAAAAGTAATTCTTTAAAATAAAAACACTGGGTTAGTGATGGGAGCATCCCTTGAGCAGTTGACCATAGGCAATGTAGCAAGTTGGGGAGATTCCTTTCTTCCATCTCTTTGAAGGCAAATACTTTTATCCCTGTTTTGTTTTGTTCTAATTAATGGTGTTGTTTTAGCCTGTTTTGTTTTGTTGAACTTCAGTATACATGAAAGTATGGGCAGCTATTTTGAAGAGAATGCGACACTTCAACAGCCATTAGTGACTTCCCTGTTGTCTGGTTTTGAAGACCTAAAACACCTTCCTCATTCTGTTCGGATCAGTTTTATTCTATGTTGTTTTGTATGAATTCTCTGTATGCGAAGACACGGACAACTATCTGGAAGAAAACAAGAGACAATATGATAGATAGTAAAGATCTCAGGTCGTCTAGCTTTGAAATTTATATCTTACATTGCTTTCTTATTTCCTATTTTGTTCTGTTTTGTTGTGTTTAGTTCTACTCCCTTTAAAATAAAAAATAAATGAAATAAAAACACTGGGTTTATAACTACCATCAATTCTACTGTCACCTCCACTCTAGTTCTTCCTTTGACCCTTTTCCTGCTGTTTTTCTCCTTAGGGCTTTTAATGCATAAGTGTAATGTTAATGTATATATGTCAATACTACTGTGATTATTTTTGTAGTACATTTGTGGCTAATTTTAGAAGAATGGAATTAGAAAGGTAGACATTTAAAGTAGTTCCTCTTTTACCTTTTAATATATCTATATAGTATTTGAGTGTGAATAATGACTTATGGCTGAACATCTTTTTAATCATAAATGTCTGCAAAGTAGCTGGCATAATCAAATTTTATCATATTCTGATACGCTTGTTGATATTAAGTGATGTATCTAAGCAATGCTTGTATAGAAGGGTCAGCACTGTTTTATATTTCACCTAAGGTTAACTGCAGGTCAGGTCATTTACTTTCACTTCCTTCTGTGTCTTGTTTATTAAGTTGGAGGAATAAAGTACACTAGAATCAGATTATTCAAGACCCTTGACATATGAATTACTGGAAATAGCTACAGAAATTGGAATGAATCTCCAAAGACCCATTTTTGGATTCCTCTGTGTTGGCATTAGATAAATCAACCTTGGAAATGCTTGCTCATGTCAGTTGAGCATGCTTTTATTTCTCTTCACACCAAAAAATGATGTCTCTTTTAGGGCTCTTTTAGGGCTCCCGGAGAGTCAAAACCCTTTAGCTGAGTTTGAAACTCAGGGCTAAGACAAAGACTTCTCTGGACCACCCATTTTTATTAGATCCAACAACAAAGCATGGGGAAACTGAGGAAAGCATGGGAAATGAGCAGGACCTTCAGAGTCATTTTAAAGACTTTTCCAAGTAGTAAATTATGTCAATTTAGGAGAACCGTCTTATCTCTAAGATGACATTTATGGTAGGATTGAGACTGCAGGAGTGAAATTCCTTCAGCTGCAGTCTCTATTTACTTAATGAGTGTTGGAGCCAAGGTATCTTCATCACAGCTGTGGCCTTGTCTTGCCCTTTGAGGTATCTTTGGCCTCATAGGCCACTACAAGCCTCAGCCAGAACCAGTGATTCATAGAGATTCACTTATTGTGATAAATCCGCTCCCATCACTAGGCCAGGGGTCTAGGCTAGGACAGACTCACAGATAACCGTAGAAAGCCGATTAGTTAATTTTAAATCCTGCTCAGAGCCACTTCATAGTAGTCTCCGATCCAGTGCTGAGCCAGCCTCCCTTTGCCATATGCTGTGTTCTGCCTGTTCTTGTCCTGCCCTGTACTGGAGAAAAACTCATTTGTAAGGATGGTCTCATCCACAGTTTGCATGCAGCTTGGAGGCACAGTTTCAGGAGAATACTGTATTACACAAACCTATTTAAACAGCATTTGGGTCCACAGTGTGCTTCCTCTCTTACACTGACCCTGACTTCTAGTAAACCCTAGTGATAGGAAAAAAGCAGCTTTTATTTTACTCTACAGAGCGTTTACTGTTTTGAATATAAAATCAGATAAAATGAATTTGAACATTTGTTCTTTTTCTGAAATATGTTTTCCTTAGGTTTTAAGTGCTACTTTAAAGGTATCATAACTAGGTAACAGATTTTTTTTCTTAAATTTAAAATTTAATCTGTTTCATTATTAATGATTTGTTGTCTATATTTGTGAAATGAAGGAAAGCCCAGTATGTTACAAAAGTGACCACTTGACGTGACTTTTCAAGTTCTTTGGAATGTTGAAAAGAAATGTAACATAAGGGAGGGAGGGAGGGAGGGAAAGAAAGAAAGAAAGAAAGAAAGAAAGAAAGAAAGAAAGAAAGAAAGAAAGAAAGAAAGAAAGACAGACAGGAAGGAAGGAGAAAGAGAAAGAGAGAGAGAGAAATAAAGAAAGAGAAATTTAACATCCCTATATGTTTATACATCACACTTTTTGTCTACTTCCACAACTTGGTTATTACATGTATGTACTATCCTCTAGGTACAAGTTATATAAATTGTTATGTATGTTTGTAAGCTTGATATAACAATATTTTTCAGTTAAAATATTTCATCCACATTTTCTAAATATTGAGATTATTTTACTAAATTGCAATAGTTTTAAGATAGTTTTATCATTAGTAGTTTATAGAATGTAACACTTCATTATAACATTTTATCTTATTAATGAGTAAGTATACGTCAGCAAAATAATGCTAAAATTAATGCTATAGAAATAAGATTAGTGTTAATATTACTGCTTTCTTCCAGCAGGTTCAGTAAATTTTGGATGGATGCCTTTATGTATTTAAAAGATTTCCCTGAGATAAATGTGCCGAATATTCAGCGTAGAATGAACAGTGTTAAACTTGATTTTTCAATTTCTTCCTTACCTGTGCATAGCCAGGGTACTAGAGCCTTTTGAGTTCTGAAATCTGATAGGCATTAGTTGGGGGGTGGGGGACACATAAATTGAAGTGAGCCTGTCTAAATTGTACACAGAACTGAAGCATAGCTGTTTTTTAGATTTGAGAAACGAATGCCAAACTAAAATACCGAATTGTGGAGAAACTGCTTTTTGTTTTTTATAATTGTAGTTTACTAATTGATTGTATTTATACCTTTTTAAAAGCAAGACCAAAATTCAAAAAATTAAAATAGTTTCTTTTGGAATGTGTAATCTGATTCACAGCAATAAGAACCAGATTTTATGTAATCTTCAATATTTATTCAATAAGTATTTGAAGACTTACTGTATGTCATACCCTACACTAGTTGCTGCATGTAAATTTGTCAGTGTGTTTTCTTAAAAGCTGAACTCTAGTTGTTTAATTGTGTATGAACTTTATTTTAAAATATAGGACTCATTTAAAATATAGACAGCTTTTTGTATAAAATTACTGAGCTCAGTCACAAGTACCTGGCCCTGAGATAAAAGCTTTAAAGTTACAGTATTCTGAAAATTTCAGAAAATAGTAGTATTGATTAGAATTTAGTATCAAACTTATCTGGGATTGCTACCACTTATCTATAAGGTATCAAAGATTTCACTTTATCTATTGATGGTGAAAATTAAAAACAACTTTAGAAAAAAGTCATTCTCAGTTCAGCCTTGTAAATAGAACTGAAATATGTTATCAGCTTGTTATATTCTGTTTCCCTAGCCTCCTAATCAGTAAATACTTATTCCTGGTACCGTTTCCACAGAAAGGGGTATTTCAGTAAATATACCATGTCAGTTTGGGCTTGTCCTTAGAAATACATATGCAAATATATTCATGTCTTAAAGTAAGTATATTTCAATGTATTTTTTTACCAAATTATTATTAATCATATATTCAAGTGGAAAACTTGACAGAAGTAAATTTTAGAAGAATAATTTGTAAATTATTGTTGTTTTCATGTTTATATTTAATTTAAAAAATTTTGGAAACTGTAAGAATTTTATTTGGGTTGCACAGAAATATAAAATGTCTTCATTTTAAAAATGTTTAATGCTGTGTTTTCTACAGAAAAATATGTTATTCACCTTTCTTACTAAGGATTACATTTACGGTATACTGTAGCTCCAGTGATAGTTGAATGGTTTAATCTGTGTGTATTGTTCCATGAAAAGAGCAACTCAGTGCATTTAGCATAAACTTCAAAGCTGCTTTTCTTTTTTTAAATGAACTACTTTTTTACAATTAATTTGCTAAGATATAGTGATGTCTAAGTTACTGCTTTTTTAGGAAAATCTTACTGTAAAAGTTATTTTATATTGCCATAAGTGGCTTATATTTATAATTAAATATTGAAATGAATGGAGAAAGTTATCAAAATGAATATGAGATTGAAAAATTTACTTTTACTTAACCTTAAATAATGTCTTTGATTTCAAAGGTAACCACCTACATAATCTAAAAACAACTTTTATAGTCTAATAAATACCTTAATCTTCTTCTAGGTGATGTCCGTCTAACTCCAGAGGACTTTGCTAGAGCTCAGAAATACTGCAAATATGCAGGCAGTGCTTTGCAGTATGAAGATGTAAGCACAGCCATACAGAATCTACAGAAGGCTCTCAAGTTGCTGACAACAGGCAGAGAATGAAGCCTTTGTACAAGAGAAAATTCATGTATTTTTGGCATAAGGAGCTAACGTCTGCTACTGTATCATCAGCCTGTTGGAAGCACAGTGTAAGGGAGACTTTAGTTCCATTGAATGTGACAATGAAATCTGTGTCTGTCTGATTGCTGCTGAAGTATTCAGCAGCAGCCTCGGCCAGTTTTCATTGTCCATTAAGTGAATCCCATGAACTTTGATGTTAGCAAGATCCTTAAAAAATGTCAGTTGGACCCTACTTCAAAAATTAAAACACCACTATAAAATTACATTGAAAATAAGCGTTTTAATTCAGGTACATTTAGGAATTTTCTAAAAATCAATAATATTTGGAAAAACCACATTCCTTTGCTATAAAACTCTAAAGTTAACTTTTAATAAAGATTGCCCGAATATTCTGGAGATCATGTTTTTGTTTTCTGCAAACTTCACAAAATTAATATGGACATCTGAAAATGTTAGGTGAATCCAATAGACATTATGTCAAAACCCCTAATTTATGTTTGTATTAGCTATAACTATGATACAAATTTAAAGCTTTATGAAAGGAAATAAACATGAGGGCAAAGGTTGAGTCACACTCAGACTCCAGTACCACATTGGTTACCCCTGTCCACTGACGCTGAAGGTGGACTGGCTTTGCTTCATGGGCAGTTTGACTGCATGTATTGGAAGATGGAAAATCATGTATACTAATGCCTGGGGACTTGGTGCTCTAAGTGAAAGTTTTCCACAGCTGCCGTGGAGTTGATTCCAGAGAATACAGATGAAGTGATACTGAAGATTGTAGGACTTCAGATTCTCAGTCTTTAAGTTTATAAGTTTTGTGGGGAATTATAGATTTACTGTATCACCTGCATTTGTGCTGTGTAGAAAATAAATACAAGGATTCTTTTAATTTGTTCAGCTTACTATAAAGCCAAATGTGTTTTGATTTGCATGATAAAATTATCTTTTTAAAACATGTTTATATTTATAGAAATACAAATGTTTCTGTAGTAAGAAACAGTTTGTTTTTTTGTTTTTTTAAGGTGAATCTGACAAATTTACCTGAAGTTTATGTGTTCCCTTTTGTTTATGGCACTTAGTTGGAATCCTTTCTGTGTCAGCGGGCTGTGGCCCTCTAGACTGTTCACCTGTAGTGTAAAGTTCTACTGGAACAAAACCACATCCATTTATTTGTGTTTTGTCTGGTTATTTTGCACAATAGTAGAGTTGCGTGGCTTGCAAGCCTAAAACATTTAACTTGCCCTTTAAGAAGTATACTGATATCAATTGCCTGGTTAAAAGAAAATGAATAACTAACTCATAACTATTTGTGTTAATCATTCTTTGCATCAAGATGCAAAGGTTCGAATGAGAATTCAGATTAAATGAATAACTCATAAATATCACAAAAAAAGAAACAAGCTACAAAAAAACATACTCCCTTGAAAAATGTTCTCAAATCTTTCAGAAAATACATAAGAAGGTACACGGTTCAGCGTTCATATTTAGGAGCACAGTGCTCTAATACAGCTCTGTAGAAATCATGGTAATTGAAAACTGACTAGCATGATCTTTCTGAAAGTAGTACATTTAGTTCCACAAATTTTATTTCAAACCCTAACACACCTGTACACTAAAACTGCTGCTTCCTCCTATTTCAAACTTTCCTGGAAAAGCACACAGAGGGAGGAAGCACTGGTAACCATGGGAATCCCCCGACCAGCAGGCCACGCAGTGTTGCAGAGTCCGGTCTGTAAAACAGAAATGACTCCACTTCATAGCCACCTCGTGGTTTATTATGAGAGTTAAATGAGGTAGCGTACATGAGGTGCTTATTAGCACATGGCAGTGTTCTACCATGTTGATTGTTAAATGTAATGCTATAATAATTAATGTAAACTGTTACTTATTATTTATTTCCCAAATGCCAGAAAATCCCAGTTGTCTTTGTAGCCCAGTGCTTACTAAAGCTTTCTTGCATGAAGGGACTGACCTATATAGTGTTTTCTAACTCTGTACTTGTATTTCTTCATATAAAATCCGACTATAGAATTAGGGTATACTTTCTGATGTAACGCTAGGGTAAGCCATTTTCATTTCTTCAACTTTGTATTCATTGAGCAGCTATTATGTGCCTGGTATTGTTTTTAGCAAAAATCAGGAAATAAGAAAAAAAAAAATCTCTGCCTCATCAAGTTTAATGGAGAAGAAAGGGACATATTGAATAAAAGTATATCACATTTATTTGGCCAGTGGTTCACAAAAGGCAGTTTGGAGAATTGCAGTTCTCAGACCCCAACCTAGACCTCAATCGGAAACTCTAGGATCAGTACCCAGTTTTTTGGCTTTTCAGACACACTTGGTGGTCCCTGAAGTTTGAGTGGGGTCCTCACCCAAGTCAAGAAGATTGAGAGCCTGGGGTGAGAGGTTACCCTGAAGCAGTGCTTCTCAAAGATGTACTTGGACCATCACTATCAGCATGAGAACCCGTTAGAAAGTTCTGGGGAGCGCACTTAGGAAATTTCTGCATTGGATCATAAATATTTTGGAGAAAACTATAGAGCGCAAAACATTCTTAGGTGTATGTCAGCATGCACATATTTAAATAGGGCAGGCAGGACAGCAGAGAGACGGTGCAAAGCCACGCAGGAGCACAAAGAAAGCACATTTCTGACAGAGTAGAAATGAAGTTTGGGTGTCAGTGGGACAAAGTCAGGTGGGGAGGCTAAAGGCCTAGGATGATACAGGTATTTTAGAAAGGGCTTTGACTTGAATAAGCGAGCAGTGAGCCAGCATGAAGAATACTCTGGTAGAACTTTTAGAGGAATCACGTAGGCTTCAGTGGCAGGAACAGATCTTTATGGAGGGGAGGGGTGGGGGCTGGCAGGCTAGTTAGGAGTACTGCAATAATGAAGATGAGATAGATGAATGTTAGGCTGCCGGTAGCCGTGGAGGGCATGAGACATGATTCGTTTGTGTTTTGTTTTGTTTTTTCTTGTAAAATCACAGAATTTCTGTAAATAGGATATGAAGTACCGACATAGGAATGAAGATTGACTCCCCAGTTTTTAGCTTGAAAACTTGGAAGGAATGATTAGTCGTTAATCCCAGTTGGGAAAGTTGCCAAGTTCTTGTAAAGGTCCAGAGTAAAATGGATAGCAGTGTTTTTTATCAGTATGACAAGAGGAAAACAAAATGAGATAAATTTCTGTCTATGTGATTGTCAGAGATATCAAGTCCCTGCTCAGCTGGGGTTAGAAGCAGGAATTGTACCCAGGGTTAACATGTCCATATAGGCTTGCAGACATCTAGGTCACACCAAGAACAACTGAAAAAATCAAGCTTTAGATTACAGGCCTTGAAGACTAACATCCTCAGGTAGTAATAGTAGAATTTATATCCAACAGGTACTTACAGAAATTTGAGATTTCTGCATATACATTAAAAGTGTATGTATCAGTCTTTCTGAAGAAACTTACAGTGTAATAGCAGTGTGAACCAAAAACTAATATAGGTTGAACATTCCTAATCTTAAAGCCTCAAATGGCCAGAAATCTAAAAATGGTCAGTAAACCCAAAATGATTGGAAATTAGAAGAATTTTGAGCATCAACAAAAAGTTTGGATTTTGGAGCATTTCAGTTTTTGGATTTCCAGATCAGGACAATTCTGAAATCAAAAAAATATTAAAATTTGAAACACTTCCCAGTCCCAGGCATTTTAAGAGTTTTAAAAAATTCTCAGTTTGCACTCAGTGGTCACAAGGGGAAATAGGTTTTAATTTTTATCTCTGTACTATCAATAATTGAAACAATGAGGGAACACTAGTACTAGTACTAGACTCATGCAGTATTTAGGGCTCTGAATAAAACCAGCCATATGGGAGAAAAAGCAAAGAATAATTTATTTTCAACCCTGATCTCATCTGTTAAAGATTAGTATTACTTATTATTCATATATGCTTTTTTTTTTCTTCCTGCCATACTGGATAGTCTCCACAAAATGTAAAGGTCTGGACTTTTCTAATAAGCTTTGATCTGTTGAACCACTGAAGGTGGACTGTCTTTGCTTCATGGGCAGTTCAGTAAGCTTTGTGTAAGGAGTTTGGAATTGCAGACCACTCAGGGGCACAAAGTTTCATTAGAGGTTTCTCTACTTTGCTTTAAATCTGTGTGAATACACAAATGTTCACAACTAAACAATTGAAGGCATGGTTTAGGTGCCATAAAGAAAACACTAATGCATTTCTATTAAAAAATAAATAAACTTTTTGACCCAAGACTGGAACCTGCAGCAGGCCAATCCAATGGGGCTTTGGCGTTTGAGTTGTATCTTGAGAATGAGCAGGAATCCAATAAAGCAGTATGAATGGTTAAGATGGAAGGGAAGCATAGAAAGGAAAGTAGAGTTGTAGGAGAGCACATGCTTTTTGCAACTGCAGCGAAATAGCCATCTTAATCCTAAGGCAGATCTTCTAACAGCAAGTATACATCACATCCAGACAGGTAGCAATCTCAGGATGCTCTTTATATAGCCATTCAATGTATCAGTAGGTAAAGTACTCCTTTTTTGTATGTTGTACTAATTTGAATTTTAAAATGCAACATGTTGCACTACTATAATCCAAGCAAGATCTCAAATCAAAGTATACATTTATAAGCAATAAAATGCATTACAGTTCTAGAGGCTGGGTGCCTTCAAGATGGTGTCACCAAATTCAGTGTCTGGTTTAGGCCCATTCCCATGCTGTATCCTCAATGGACAGACCAGCTCCCCCAGTCATCTTTCCTACGGACACTATTCCTAATCACCTCCCCAAAGGCCTGCCTGTTGCCTTAGGGATTCATTTGTAATATGTAACTTTGGGAGGGAGACAGCCATTCAGACCAGGGCGTGCCTGTAGTGTATTTTCTGAACTTCATAGCTGTAACATCTACTACATAAATTAATAGTATGGACACTGAGCATTTAGAAATGGAAAAGTGTATTAGCAGACATGAGAAGCAAAAAGAGGAGGAACAGATCAAGTCTAAATCCCTTTTTATACTTTTATTCTTCCTAAAACTGAACTTCGCGCCCCTGTGTTGTATAACACAGTGGTCTGCAATTCCAAACTCCTTACACAAAGCTTACACAGAACTGAACCTGAAGCTCCAGTCCTAGTGATCTTCGTTTACTCCATCCTGCGTTTTACATTACTGAAAATTTGGGTTCATCACAGGGAATTAGGTGTGCCTTTGGGTTCACTACAGGGAACCCATCTTGGACTGTAGGTTCAGGGGCCGAGTGGACAGGCCAGAAGGAGGGTGAGTGGCAGAAGGAAATGAGAGGCAAGTTAAGGGTAAAATATTCTAAGACAAAAGGAAGGGCTCAATTTCACTCTCAACAAGGTCTATAAAATGTCACGAAGTTCTGCGCTGGATCGCGTGTGAGTATTGTTGCTGTAACCCTGTGTGCAGAGAATGCTCAGGTTGAGTCACCAGTATGCTGCAGTTCTTGTGAGAAAGTTGAAAAGTTCACAGCATGCGTTGCCTGAAAACCTCCCAAGGACCTCGCCCCCAACCCACTTTCATCTTTCCTGACTGGGGCTGAAGACAGCATATCACTCCAAATGAAGTTTTTGACAAAAAAGAAAATACTGTATGTTAGAAGAGGTCTGTTTGACATAGTCACAAGTTACCATCTCAGAATATTTTAGTTTTCACACAGTGTAATTCTTATACTATTTGGGAATGTTGATTAACCCTAGGAACCTGATATTATTCCTAATCAACTTTTAAAAGCTTTATCAACATTGGTGAAGGTGACCTAAACTCTTTGAGTCACAAACTCTTAAGGATAGGGTTTAAAGATTATCTAATCCAAGTTTTCCATTTTACGTGGGGCGGAACAGACCCAGGAGAGATGCAGCTGCTTGCTTAGGATATCAGAGATGTCAGTGGAAAAATAACAAAGGACAATACCTCTGACTTTTAGACCAAGGATTTTTTTTTTTTTTTTGGTATGTTCAGGAAACTATATCAAAAAAGACATTCAACTAACAAAATACATTTTGGTAATTTGCTACTGTTGCCAGAATGTTCATAGACATTCATTACTAATCCATAGTTGGTTAGTTACTTCATAATTTATAAATATTGTCTCCTTTTTTACCCCAAAATGCCTTCAAAATTCCAGAAATTAGAAATACA